GGTTTTTAATGTACTGACTAGCTAGTTAAGCCAGCTGTTTCAATTGAAAAGATCACGGTCCCTCCTGTTCATATAACCAGCTAGTTTAACTAGCTAAGACTAAATAGGAGTAGAGTTGATTGATTCCTTGAAAATCTACTTTCAGCTGTGTGTAATTAGATAGAAGTTGTGATTTCTTAATGTTGTGAAATTTTCAGCCGTGTTTGTGATTCCTTAATGTTGTGAAACTTTTAGCTGTGTTTAGAAAGATAGAAGTTTCCTTATTCTACATGTAAATTCCGATTAATTCCGATTGATGTCGCTAGGAATTGATTCTGGTTGATGTTGTAAAACTTTCAGCTGTGTTTGTGATTCCTTAATGTTGTGAAACTTTCATCCGTGTTTTTTTGAAAGATAGGAGTTTCCTAATTCTACTTTCATCCATGTGTAAATAGATAGATTGATTTCCTTGTATGAAAATCTGGTTGACGTAATGAAACTTTCAGCCATGTTTGTGTTTCCTTAATGTTGTGAAACTTTCAGCTGTGTTTAGAAAGATAGGAGTTTTCTTGTTCTACTTTCATTCATGTGTAAATAGATAGGAGTTGATTTTCTTGTATAAAATCTAGTTGATTCCGGTTGATGTGAAACTTTCAGCCATGTTTGTGTTTCCTTGATGTTGTGAAACTTTCAGCCGTGTTTGTAATTCTTTTAATGCTGTGAAACTTTCAGTTGTGTTTAGAAAGATAGATGTTTCCTTATTCTACTTTCATCCGTGTGTAAATAGATAGGAGTTGATTTCCTTGTATGAAAATCTAGTTGATTCCGGTTGATGTGAAACTTTCAGCCATGTTTGTGTTTCCTTGATGTTGTGAAACTTTCAGCCGTGTTTGTAATTCTTTTAATGCTGTGAAACTTTCAGTTGTGTTTAGAAAGATAGATGTTTCCTTATTCTACTTTCATCCGTGTGTAAATAGATAGGAGTTGATTTCCTTGTATGAAAATCTAGTTGATTCTGGTTGATATAATGAAACTTTCAGCCGTGTTTGTGTTTCTTGATGTTGTGAAACTTTCAGCCGTGTTTGTGATTCCTTTAATGCTGTGAAACTTTCAGCCGTGTTTAGAAAGATAGATGTTTTCTTATTCTACTTTCATACGTGTGTAAATAGATAGGAGTTCATTTCCTTGTGTAAAAATCTAGTTGATTTCGGTTGATACTTTCAGCCGTGTTTGTGTTTTTTTAATGTTGTGAAACTTTCACTGTGTTAAGAAAGATAGGAGTTTCCTTGTTCTACTTTCATCCGTATGTAAATAGATAGGTTGATTTCCCTTGTGTGAAAATCTAGTTGATTCCAGTTGATGTTGTGAAACTTTTAGCTGGGAATGGATTCGGTTGATGTTGTGAAACTTTAAACCGTGTTTAGAAATATAGAAGTTTCCTTGTTCTACTGGAATCAACTAGATTTTCACACAAGGAAATCAACCTATCTATTTACACGGATGAAAGTAGAACAAGCTTCTATCTTTCTAAACAAACACGGCTGAAAGTTTTACGACATCAACTGAAATCAACTAGATTTTCACACAAGGAAATCAACTCATCTATTTACATACGGATGAAAGTAGAATAAGAAATCCTATCTTTCTAAACACGGATGAAAGTTTCACAACATTAAGGAATCACAAACACAGCTGAAAGTTTCACAGCATCAACCGGAATCAATTCCTAGCTGAAAGTTTCACAACTTCTATCTATTTACACACGGATGAAAGGAAACTTCTATCTTTCTAAACACGGCTGAAAGTTTCACAACATTAAGAAAACACGAACATGGCTGAAAATTTCACAACATTAAGGAATCAATTTCTGGCTAAAAGTTTTACATTAACCGGAATCAACTAGATTTTCACACAAGGAAATTAATAGTGAAAGTTTCACAACATTAAAAAAAACACAAACACGCTGAAAGTTTCATGACATCAACTGAAATCAACTAGATTTTCACACAGGGAAATCAACTCCTATCTATTTACACATGGATGAAAGCAGAATAAGGAAACATCTATCTTTCTAAACACGGCTGAAAGTTTCACAGCATTAACGGAATCACAAACACGGCTGAAAGCTTCACATCAAGGAAACACAAACACGGCTAAAAGTTTCACAACATCAACCGGAATCAACTAGATTTTTATACAAGAAAATCAACTCCTATCTATTTACACACGAATAAAGAAACATCTATCTTTCTTAACACAAACACGGCTGAAAGTTTCACAACATCAACCGGAATCAACTAGATTTTCATACAAGGAAATCAACTCCTACCTATTTACACACGAATGAAAAGTAGAATAAGGAAACTCCTATATTTCTAAACACGGTTTAAAATTTCACAACATCAACCGAATCCATTCCCAGCTAAAAGTTTCATTACATCAACCAGAATTACACAAGGAAATCAACCTATCTATTTACACATGGATGAAAGTAGATAAGGAAACTCCTAACACGGCTGAAAGTTTCTCATCAACCGGAATCAACTAGATTTTCACACAAGGGAAATCAACCTATCTATTTACACACGGATGAAAGTAGAACAAGGAAACTCCTATTTTTCTTAACACAGTGAAAGTTTCACAACATTAAAAAACACAAACACAGCTGAAAGTTTCACGACATCAACCGAAATCAACTAGATTTTCACACAAGGAAATCAACTCCTATTTATTTACACACAGATGAAAGTAGAATAAGGAAACATCTATCTTTCTAAACACGGCTGAAAGTTTCACAGCATTAACGGAATCACAAACACAGCTGAAAGTTTCACAACATCAAGGAAACACAAACACGGCTGAAAGTTTTACGACATCAGCCGGAATCAACTAGATTTTTATACAAGAAAATCAACTCCTATCTATTTACACAGGGATGAAAGTAGAATAAGGAAACATCTATCTTTCTAAACATGGCTGAAAGTTTCACAGCATTAACAGAATCACAAACACAGCTGAAGTTTCACAACATCAAGGAAACACAAACACGGCTAAAAGTTTTACGACATCAACCGGAATCAACTAGATTTTTATACAAGAAAATCAACTCCTATCTATTTACACACAGATGAAAGTAGAATAAGGAAACATCTATCTTTCTAAACACGGCTGAAAGTTTCACAACATTAAATGAATCACAAACACGGCTGAAAGTTTCACAACATCAAGGAATCACAAACACGGCTGAAAGTTTCACGACATCAACCGGAATCAACTAGATTTTCATACAAGGAAATCAGCTTCTACCTATTTACATACGGATGAAAAGTAAAATAAGACGTCTTCCCGATTTCTCCAATGAAGTAATTCGAAGCTTTGGTATGAAGGTAGAAAACTTGCCGTTCTTTGAATGAATTTAAGCACGAAAATTAGGCCAGTCAAGAACGTGTGCTCAATGGGCCGTTCTTTTCTTTTTATTTTACTTCTCCAGAATATAAAATATTTTCTGACATTTAAAAGTTACAATTATAAATTGGATGTTAACGTATAAAGAAGTTTCTGACTGAGAAAAGTAGATGGAAGTATAATTACACTTTAAATAATCTCATTTATTTTTCTTCAAATATTTACTAATATTTTATTTCTTTTAAAAGTTCACAAAGGAAATTAATCGTGATATTTTTTCGCTTTAATTTGAATTGTTCTATTTACTCTCACATGATGATATATAATTTGATACTATATTTTCTATATTTTCATTAATATCTATGTCTGATGAGAGTTTTGTTATATCAGAACCCTAAATATTGAATAATTTTATTTGTTATTCGAATATGTTAATAGATTGAATCTTTCAAAGAAACAGGAAAGTAATTTTAATTTGATTTTTTTGTTTATTGTTTTTTTTTTTGAACGAAATTTGAACTAATGTTTTTTTTCTTTTTTTTTTGAGGAAGGAATGGAAAGTAATTTTAATTTTATTATTTATTTCTTTTTTTTGGAAACTTGAACAATTACTAACTGTTTTTTTTCTTTTTTTTTGAGGAAGGAATGGCCATTATTTTGGCCATTCCATTCAATGTGGGATGGATTGCTGTAACGGATATCGGTAGAATACTCGTTACGGCCGTCCTATATTTATAGGATGGATTGCTGTAACGAATATCGGTATAATGCACATTACGGCCGTCATGCATTTAATATTTTGTTCTACTCTTAAATGATGAAAATGAATCACTCAGATTAATTCTGATAAGAGTTTTTTTTATCAGTTTTTTTATTGTAAATATTTGTAATATTTGATTTTTATTTCTCGTAACAAGTTGAAAAACAAAAAAAAATTTATACTTAATTTTTTGCTTATGAGTGAAATAAAATTATTGTTTGTTTTTTGCTCGGAAAGCTATTATAGTGTTTTTGAAAGTTTTTGTGCTCTAAAATTATGTAAATGTCGTGCTCTATAGAAAATTATAATTTTTCAAAATTTTGATTACTAAAAATAGGCCATTAAAGATATGTTAACCGACTTTTCAACTTCTTCAATTATCATGAGTTTTATTTGAAAAATACATTCTGAAGCTTCAACGTAACATGTGATGTGACTAAGCAGCTAAACATTAATTCTTTCTAAAATATTATTGTATCTTCTGTTAATATCTCTCAAATTCGTTAGCCATTTTTTACTATTCAAGTACAGAAGTAATTTGCTTAAAGGATTTCACCAAGAACGCATCAATGCATTACATATATATCTATATATCGATATATTCTTAAATTTTTAAAATTGTTTTGTGTAAGTTTCTTAAGAGGCTCCACCAGGCGTAGTATGTCTCATTTTGATTGAAAAAATGAGATCAATCTGAAATTCATTATTATTAAAAAGTTTTTATAGTAATATGAAATTTTATAACGAAAACATTTGTATCTAACACAATACTTAAAGTCAAAATTTTATTCAATATTAAAAGTTATATATTTCTGTATCAAACGCATTGGAATATTCTTCTTTTTCAGGCTCTTGTTCAAAGATTTCTTCTATTAGAACATTCACCTTCTTCAGGTTCAGGTTCATAAAAAGAAACTGATCGTGGTAGTGAATATTCACCATCCTGGATGTTTTGCAAACTAGCAGCTTCAAAAGCTTCATGATAACTCGAATAACGTTTTTGAGTACCCAAAATTTTAATTCCATTTTTTTGTAAGATTCCATTAACCATATTAAAATCTTTAATAAGATGTAGTGAGAAAAATAAATTGAGTTTAATTTCAGAAATAATAGTGAAAAATATTTTTTTCAAAAAAAAAAACTTAATTTACCAATATTACATTCTTGATATGCTAAAGTGATCTCTCCAAGAATTTGATGAAGTTGAGTTATCTCGCTCTGATATTCTTCGTCGTTATTTTTATATACCTAAGCTGAATGCATAACGCTATTTTTAAAGCCTCGTTTTGCTTTCTTAAGAAATTATTTTCTTTTCTTAAATCTTTGATCTTCTTTGTTTATTGATAGTCCCTCTTTTCTAATCTACGGTTTTTGCTTTCTAATCGATTAATTTTAGTAAACATTGTTGAATTTATCCAAGATTTGAATGCGTCAAGAGCTCGGATATTATCTTCATAATCTTCTTGTGAACTATTGGCTCGATTGCATTTATAATAGCTTCTTATGCTTTCAATATACTTATTGAATGCCTTTTGAATCTGATCTGGAGTTGATTTAGACGACTTTAGAGTATTTATTAAATGATTAACCGTAGAGTTTTTGCGAGGCATTTTTTTTCTTAAAGATTTGAAGGATTTGATTATTCATTATATATAAAAATTTATATTAAGGTCATTCGGATATGTACACAAAAAATATTTACAATAAAAACTATACTACATTAAAAAACGTGAGAAGTAACAAATTACTTATACAAAAATTTTTTTAAATTGATGTCAGATTTGGCTTAAAACAGGTTTTTGAAATATTGTTTATAAATACGTGCGTATACGTTAATTTTAATTAACAAACTATCCATAAAAAATGAATAAACTTCCTGACGAAATCAAACATAAAATCTTTAAATTATTTTCAAACAACCAACAAAATCTGTTTTCGTTCTTATTTGTAAACCACAATTGGTGCAAAATCATCATTCCTATTTTATGGTCACATCCATTGTTTAAACCGAAACTCATTCTGGTGATTCTTTCATATCTCAATAAAGAGGAACAAACTTCATTGATACCTTTAAATATCCACATTTTACCTCATACCTTATTTGAATACCACGATACATCAAGTACTTCAATTTTCGCAAATTAATTGATGATGTTGTTTTCAATCTAGATAGTTACAGTTTCAAGATCAAACACAATTTAATAAAAATAATTTGGAAAGTGATCTTAAGTTCCTGCACGAAACTCGAGATATTAGAAATCGGTTTAGAAATTATATTCCCCTCTTGGACAGAAATCTGCGTAAAAAATATAATGCTTGACGAATTTCCAACCTTCATGATTAACGCAATCAATACCAACTTTGATACCTTAGTCATTAGCTCATTTCCTATTGTCTGGGAAAAATTTACAAAACTACTCAATAGAAACAAATTCATTACTACGTTAAAGTTAATTAGCATGGAACTTGAACCCATACATATTACAACTTTACTCTCAGCTTTTCAAAAAAACACCATTATTCGTTCACTCAACCTATATAATTGCCAAGGGATCACGCTTGAAAACCTTTGTCTCGTCCAAACGTTGACCATCCTTAAACTTTGTCTCTGTCAACTCGGGTCAGATATCAAAACCAAAATCGCCTACTCTTTGCACCAAAATAACTCCTTAAAACATCTCGACTTAAGTGGAAATTTTACTACCTACAGCGACAGAAACACGATTCTAAACACCCTATGTCAAAATACCACACTAACATATCTAAATCTCTCAAGTAACATGCTCGACAGTAACAATTGCGCCACACTTGCCCAAATGCTTCGCACCTTTCTCTCCTTAAATCTTAACTACAACGAGCTAGGTAAAGACAGATCCTTGGTTGCCAACGCGCTTAGCGAAAACAAAAGCTTACAATTTTTAGGTCTTTGAGAAAACAAATTTTCACTTACTATCATCGAATCATTTTTAAAAAGCCTCTTTTTAAACACCACTTTAATCAAATTAGATCTTTTACGAAACCTTAACAACAACCAAATAATTCTAATCCAAAATAATAACAATTCATTCTCGAATTTTCCTTTCAGAAAATCCATTCGAGTATCGGAGCTAATTTTTTTATCGTGACATTACAAATTAGTTATCTTTGTAACAATTCAGTTTATCCAAAGAATCAAAATTTTATTTTATCATTATGATTTAGCTGAATGGTTTATTTAAATCGAAGGTTTATGTATAAATATAAGAATTTATTTCATTTAATAAACTGTTTTAAGAGGTGTAGTTCGTAGTTGAGGGTATACTACTTTTTTTTATTTTTGATTATAATTTTTTTTAATACCAGAAACTTTCGACATATGAAAGTCATTAAATTAAGAAAAAATGCTGATATGCTAATAGCATTCAGAGGCCGTCTGAAAATAATTTGAGTAAATTCAAAGATTTTCACATTAATAATGTGATGCATTTACCGCCAATCAAAAACAAGATCAGGTTTAACATAAAAATTAAAAACAATTGTTTGTTTGAAAAATCACATTTATCTCAGTAAAAAATTTTGCCTAAGAAATCACCTTTGCGCATTGTCTGAAGCATAGCTTAAGACGGTTGTTTGGATCTAAAAAATCACAAGATGCACCGCATAATTAGCCAACCACAGATAAAAATTCGTACCATATACAATAACGATAACGCGCCGTTCATCTGATTGGTTGATGTAAATCAATTGTTGGAGTACTTCTGTCAGAATGGCATAAAACAAGTTTTTGAGATCGATAAAGTAAATGAAAATCATGTAATCTCTATTAAATAAAACCGGAATTGAATTTAAATTAGAGTAGTTTTTTTATATTGGTGCCAAATTTGGCAATACAGTATACAAAAATTCATTTGATATCGATATTGTATAATTCAAAAAAAATAATCTCTTAATCAAGATCTTTTTTTAGTGCAATAACGCAAACAAATAGAATTTCAGAATGTTAAGGGTCAATATAAATCTTAAAGTACGGCAGTATTAGATATGACTGTAATTGGACGCTTTATAATAATACTGATATTTTTACTGAAACACGCGATTCTGAAGCCTGAAAAGTTTATCTTACATAAGATTTCATTAAGGAGTTTATTGAAGGACATCAATTGAAGTTTAGAATAAAACAAATAAATATTCGCATGATTTTTTAAGTATAAAGGTCAGATTATAAGGAGCGTCTGTTCTTTTCTCCTTTTTAAAAATCTCAAGAATTTCTACACAATAATGACTCTGACTCGTATCAGTAGAAACGAAATTCCAGATGTTCGCTTATCAAAAATCGATTATGAAAGATATAAATCAAAATTTCCAGGTTCTTTAAAGCAAGGTGTCACCTTTTCTAATCAATCGAAGATTCATGGTCAACTTAGAAACATTAGAGGCGAAAATAATTTTACAAACGAGTTTTTTACGGCTGCACGAATTTATACCAACAGTATAAAATTAATTAATTTTTGTTCTTTAGGCCATTCGAAGTTAATTCTTTGGTTAACATCCCCTCCCCTCAAATGAAGTCTCTCCCGAAAAATGAACAACCAATCAAAACGCTAGATAACACTCACCAATCACTTGATTTAAATCGACCAATGAAATTGCCCCATTTTTATATGTTCGTTTCATTTTGCCTCTTCTAAAAGTTCTGAAAGTGATGTTAACCGAAGAATTAACTTCAAACAACCTTATAGTAAATTTTCTTATACATATTAGTTATGAATATATTTTTGTTTACTAGAACAAGAATCAAAAAGAATCATTGATAATATATCAGAAATTACTATCGATGTTGATAATGATTCATTAACTGACACCTCAGATTCTGTCTCAGAAACTTACACGTCTGATGGTCTGGATTGTTGTGAATTAATTGATTGTTCATCGTCAGACAATGAACGGTTAATCACTAACAAAATTGCCGAAGTTCAAACAGCACCAATAAATAATAGTGGTTTACAACCCGTGGCGACAAAATCAAAAAAATGCTCTAATGATAGACAAAGTCAAACGCAAAAAATTTATGTTCTCCCATGCAATAATGATCAAAAATATAAAAAATTAAAAAAAATTTTAACTGCAATCATCGCATTTTCAATTTTAGCTCTTTTTTGGTACCATCAAAAGGTATTCTTGCACATAAATAATATTTATGTATCTATCTTTTGCGCTAACAAATTTTATTTTTAGACAAATAACACTACCATTAGTAACTTAATCGAAACAATTAATGCCGAGATTTTCGAAAAAGTATGTTTCAAAGTTTTCACACATAAAAAAATAATAAATGCATTAATAAATGACATACTGTTTATAATTCTAGTATAACCTTTGGAAAAATGCGAAATTTTTTGAAACCGAAAATAATGCATTAAAAGTAGAAAACTATGCGCTAAAATCCGAATTAAGCACTTTGAAAACACAATACATTGATTTGGAAAAGGAAATTACCAATTTAAAAGAAAAGAACGCCGCTTCCAACGAAAGAAAAACATTCCTTGAATTACAAGGAACCGAATTCAAATATACAATTAAAACCCTCGAAGACACGATCAAAGGCTTTGAAGCTACTATTAAAGACCTCGGAAATAATGAACTAAATCTCAAAGCACAACACAAAGAACTTTTAAAGGAATTAACTTTGTCAAAAAACAAAAACGAAGAAGCTGAAAATAGAAAAAAACAATTAGAAAATCAAATCAGCAAGATAATTGAAGATCGCGATCAGTTAATAAATACAATAAACGAATTACGAAAAAAGGGAAAAGAATTAAAAAATAAATACGAAAAGGAGAAGCAAGAAATTCAAAATAAATTAGATGAATTGGAGGCAGAAAGAATAAATAAAATAGTCGAAAATTCAAAAGGAGGGTGTAATTAATTCAATGATTAGATATTATAATGTAGCTGGTTTATATTTTTTTTTTGAAATTTTGTTTTTTTTGTTGATTAATATAATAACATTCAAATAAAGTTTACTGTTCAAATCTCAAACTCATGAATAAACTAATATCTTATAAACTTTATTAAGCTTTAAAACAAGTGATATTAATAACGCTCACGAGCGTCATTTCGAAAATTTTCACCAGACAAAAATGCAATATTTGGTTCGAAATAATGCGCATGCGCTAGTTTGAAAAAAGCTTAAAAATCACTTATTGCTTTATTAAAAAATGAAGCTTCTTCAACTAACGTCAAACGATAAAGTCATAATCCTTTTATAACAATGATGTAATTTTGGCATCTAAATTAAATCGAATTAAATCGTTTAAGTCTATTCCTAATATTAAGTTGTCGTGTATTATATAATAAATTCAATGTTTTTAGTTCGTGTGTAGTTTAAATCATTTAAATCAATATTATAAATTCAAGGTTTTTAGTTCGTGTGTAGTTTAACGATAACAATATTGGCATAATCTGCAAAGTGGCCAATCATAACGTGATATTCAATTCTCCAATCATGAGAAATCTTCCTATATCCCACTGATCGCATTGATTGACCAATTAGAAAATCACGCGTTTTTTAAGAAACCACTAGATTAGTGATGCCTGACGAAACCATGTGATGCTAATTGTCACGTGGTACAATATATAAAAATCAACAATCTATTTAGTTTCTTTTATAAGTAATGGCATGTGACAATTAGCATCACATGGTTTCGTCAGGCATCACTTCACTAGATCCCTTATTTTCAAGAAAAAATCCCAATATGGGCTATGTTTAAAGCGTAGATTATTATAATTTATTAACTTTAGAGTTAGGTCACTTGGTTTGATTTTCGAATTATGATCTGTTGGGATTTCGCTTGTGACCAAACCCCGTGAAAACATCAATGCGGAGCAAGATTATGTTACAAGACAAATATAATTCAATATTTACATCAATTTTTCGAATAAAAGGTTTTAACCGCAAATAATACTGTAATATGGCCATTTCGAGTTGATTAGTTTATAAACGCGCCACTTCAGGCGCTATATGCCACAGACAGGGTTGGCAATGGACCTCAATGGTTACACAAATAAACTAGTTTTTATTGGTTCCATTCACAGGTCCATTGGTCCATTCACAGATCCATTGGGTCCATTCGCAAGTCCATTGAATTATCATTGAGTCAAAGTCGATATTTTGGATTTAATCAAGCACATATTTAATCAAATATCATTGGTCCACCTTAATCACATGATGATGTTCATACTACGTTGTAAGAGATTAGGAAGTTAAGCTTTTTATTCAAAACTAACATTCCAGAAAACATAAACATATTATTTATTGATTGGTTTAACTGCAGTAACAAAAGGTCAAATATCTATCCTTTATTGAGTTTACTCGTGATAAATTTTATCAAATTTACAAATAGAATGAGATGCATGTTTAAACTATTATAAGCAATTATAAAAATACAAAGGAATTATATAAGATTGGTTTATAAATATTTTTGAGACTTAATTTGTTTATTATTATTTTCGATAATAATAATAAACGATTCCTTCCAGAATTTTGAACTTGAATTGATAAAATAAATTTCATTTCTTAAATTGCGTTTTAAAATTTCTGTACCCAACTAATTGTGAATCGTTAAATTGTACGCAACAAATTGGAATATTTTTGACTCGTCCAAATTTAGAATATGATAGCGATGTAATTCGTGAGTTACTAAAATGATCAACTGGTGAAAATATTTTACGAGAACTCTTAAACTAACAATACATTTTCAAGAGTTCCTCCTGCTAAACAACAATCTAATATCTATCCTTAAAATCAACAAAAGCGATTTCTATTTGTAACCACACAATTGTCAAGTCTTATACTTTTTACCTTTAACGGTGATGACGATCATGATTGATGAAATTGGGTTATAATTATGATTCGCACTTGGATAAATTAATTATTAGCTTTTTTTACATTGCATGTCTCTAAATAATGGCCACGGACATTTGTGTAAATACGCTATTAAATTAAAAATTACCTCGAAAATTAATTTCATGTGGTGCCAAAGGTTAACGTCTGTAGAAAAGTTTGAGACGTACAACTATCTAGAAGGTAAAGCACCCCAAACTTCCTCAACGTTTATAAAAAAAAATATAAAGTTCAAAATAACAACAGAAAATTATAAATATTTATATATAGAGAATTTCTATTTTACACTATAAGATACCAGTATACACAAGTATATTGATATCTCAAATAAAACCCACCTCGGGTTCAAATCAATTAATAAAAGACAACTTACAGCTTGTTATCAAAATCCGTCTTGGAATTGATAACATTAGTTATATCCTGCAATATATTAGTGGAGAAATTAGTTCAAACAGATAATCCGGATCCAAACTCTACAACGTGACGAAATGAATTATATGCATTACAAAATGTGCTAATACAGAATTATACTTTTAAAGTATACGTTATACGTTATACGTACTGATATGTAAATATATGTAAATATGTAACATATTGCAGATCTCCTGTTCACAGTGGTAAGAAACTTGTTTTAACAAGTTTACAATAAAAACGGAAAAATTTCTGAACTATGTAAATATATTGCTTGTTCGCCCATACAGTATATATATGTTGTATAAATAAGTAAATAGATATATTAAACAGATATTAATACAGATATTAATAATGTATTACATAGCATATATATACAACACGGTAAGAATTAAATTTCCAGTTATCAGTATATCTCTGTTATAATATTTATATATATATAGGTACTGTATACAAAGTTGCACATTGTTTATTTCCTTTTTACTTTTTTTTTTACTTTATTATCTTAATAAATAGATGTTCGCTTATTTATTTTTTAACAAACTTGGCCAGGTCTTCAGTTATTGGATATTACATATATATGTTGTATAAATAATTAAATAGATAAGTATTGATAATACCATCTACATGCATCTCTTTTATTAATTCGTTACCATCACAAATATATAATGTTCTGTACGGAAACAAGTATATAATTTTACATTTATATTGGCACTGCCCCTTTATAAGAATGACTCCCGAATCCACGCCTTCCAATCATAATTTCAGCAATAAATTCATATATCAAACAAAATATGTGCCATGGTACTGATTGGTTGACTCCGAAGGTTCTATATACGACTGGCTCATAAACCTCAGGGAAGAATAATTTTCTAGAAGCACTGTCAATTAAAATTGGTTCAGAAATTGTCCGCTTGAATTACATGAATTTGTATAACTTACCAAATGATTAAAACAGCAGCAGTTATAAATATAAGGAAAATCGAGAACCTCGTTTTCATTCTTTCCTTTAATTAAAAATATGTTAAACTAAATAATATGTATAATAAATTACTTTGCTGGTTGGCTATATTGCTGCAAGTTTTTGACTAGGCTTTTAAGATTGTCATACCTGGTTTTTAGAGAGTTAAAATGGTTCAAATTTTCTAGCTGGTTTTGTAATTAACAATTCGAGCCTTTTATATTGTAACCGTACTAAAAATCCTACAGTTTATAACGGTATTCTGCAGATCTTTAAAGTTCTACATGATAAAGATGATTTATAATTAAAATAAATAAGCTATAGTGTACATTAATAGCATAAATACTACGTATCAAGAAAAGCACATCATAAAGCAAGTTTTTGTATTCATGCAGATATTATATACTTTTAAACCTGTTTTTTTAAAGATTTAACGATTGAGGAAATAGGCGCATAGACTAGAATTTTTATTGTACAGCCAATTCTTAATGTATTAATATATTTACACGGTTATGAGCAAATCTGCAAATATCAGAATGCAGTGTTGGAAAAGAATAATCTTATAAGATTGATTTGCAGCCCAAATTTAGACAAACAAACACTCAATACAATGTATAAACTTTGATTATAAGTGCATCGAATGATGATTGAAAGCTCAAAGTGCTTACTTTTAAAGGACTACAGGCACAGGTATATTGATATCTCAAAATACATTAGTGGAAACAAAGATAAGGATAATCATCAAGAGGTTTGACGCGACGAAAATAAATTATATGCATTGCCAAAATGCGCCAATACAGAATTGCACTTTTAAATTTGTCCAAATGCATATCGATATATATTGCAGATCTCCTGTTCTTGCTATCATTATAGTGATAAGAAACTTGTTTTAACAGGTTTAAATAAAAACAGAAAAATTTCTAATGTAGTACTGTATATATATGTTGTACGTATAAATAATTAAATAGATATGTATTGATAATACTGTAGTTATTGTATTTATTTAATAAATATATTAGTAGCATAGTATATATACACGATAAGAATTAAACAAGTTTTCATTTCCAGTTATCAGTATTTTTTCTGTTAAATGTGTATCTGGTACTATATACATTTCCAGTTATGCGTATTTTTTTCTGTTATAAAATCTGTATGTATATATGTTACTGTATACAAAGTTGCACATTGTTTATTTCCTTTTTACTTTTTTTACTTTATTATCTTAATAAATAGATGTTCGCTTACTTATCTTTTAATTATACCAAAACCTTGGTCGGGTCTTCTGTTATTGGATATTACATATATATGTTGTATAAATAATTAAATAGACTATGCATTGATGATACTATTTATCATACATCTCTTTTATTAATTCGTTACCATCACAAACAAGTATAATTTATATTTGCATAGTATAAGAATGACCTAAATAATACATGTAATAAATTACTTCGTTTCTGTCGGCTATTTTGCTGCCAGACTTATAAACTTGTCGTGAGTATTAAAAAGGTCCAAATTTTCTATTCAAGCTTTATATTGTAACAGATAAGA